ATTTCCAATTTGAGAATCGATTCTCAAGTAGAACTGAACTGATATATATGGCAGGAATTGTCAAATACGTACGTACACGTACATGTATTTGCGTGCAAGTTGTAAAAGAATTTGATATAGGGATAGGAATCGATTTTCAACCAAAAATCGATTCTCGAGCACAAAGTACGTACGACGATGATGACAACGACAGCCATACCGACGATGACGGCGATGACATAGCTGGTCTTTGGTTTTGTTTTTCATTGCATGTTGATTTTTTCCCTTTTCGTTGGAATAGTTAAAGTTGTACTTTGATTAGTTGCAATTATAATTTGATTAGTTGAAATTATGCTTCGATAGTTGAATGCGTTGAGATACTACCGCTACGTGGTATAAAAGCAATTTAAGTCATCAGATTGAGATTCGGACCAATATCAGTTACTTTTGGCATTAATATCAATAGCAGATTTATTAAACTTTATATTATGTAGAGTACGTACGTACGTAGTCTATATCATTTCCGATTGCATGTATTCACGTACACGATTTATGTATTGTCGTTATCGTTATCGATTTTGTCTTTAAATCGATTCTCAAATTTAATCGATTTTCAGATATTAATTGATTCTCAGATATTAATCGATTCTAAGAATCGATTTCCTCAATTCTATATACAAAATTAATCGATTCTCAGAATCGATTCTAAATTAATCGATTCTAGAGAATCGATTCCTATCCCTAGTTACGAGTTCAAGAGATAATATAAGTTAAAATTTTAGTCTTTGCCGGATTTCTCATATTTAAAGGTAATTATAGTATATATATATATATATATATATATATTATTGAATTATTCGAACTGACAAATCACTGAATTGTTTATTTGTTCATTTGATTACTTCTCAAAGGCATTTGAAGGCCACGCAAATACCGTGTTACAAGTCTCATTCCGGCTTTCGGTCAATCGGATCAGATAGTCTCGTGAAAGTGTGGACAATGAAATTAATGGATGTGTCAACACGCTCGACAATCATACCGAGAAAGTATGGGCATTAACCGTGAGTAAGATTAAGTTTGTGGTGACTTCGTGGTGCAGATTCGGTCGTAAATTTTGTACGGTTGATGAGACAACAATTGAAAGGAGAGCATGAATTTAAATATTGAAAATCATATTTCTTTCCGAACAAGATCTAACAATACCATAAATTAATTTTATTGTTCTTAACGTTAACGCTACAGATTCATGATGAACACTTCCAACAAAGTAAAACAATATCGAAAAAAAGAAATGATGATTACTCTACTTTGTACTTTAGACTTTAAGTCGACAATCATACCATAATAATTATATCTTTTAGTCTAAAAACATGTTCCTGAAGGTATTAAAAACTGTGTTTCGAGTTTATATATTTATCGTTATCGTTATATTTATTATTCTTTCTAAAATCCATTTCTTTATGCATACTCTTAGTGGAGCGCCAAATATCAGGTGATTCTTTGGGGGTGGGGTTGTTGTCGATCATCAGGTTCTACAAGATTATGACTTAGCTTGATCAGGTGGGATGTCTCTCTAATGGGCGGTCCATTCCAGCGTACTTTGAACTTTGTATTATGCTGATTCTCGAGTTGAGTTCTGTGTAGTAAGACTTGGTCGCCAATATGAAATTTTTGCGCGTGGCGGGCGGTTCTGTGTCATTCTCCAAACATGTGACATTGCACGTACAGTCGCCACAGAAAGTAACGCCCGATTTGGATGTGCAACATCAACATAAATTTAAACGTGGCATTTTCCCTTTTTGTTATTGGTGACAGAAAATTTTTTTATTTCTTTCGACTTTTAAACATACACTGGGCGAAATTTGTTAGCTGTAAATATAACACACACCGCCTCCAGTTGACGAGGGTAAGATGGTAATTTTTATTGGGGGCGGGTTGAGTGCCATGCAAGTTGCAAGAAAAATGAGCCGTGACCTGATGACGGGATAATGGTCTCTTGCCAAATACAAGAGAAATAGGAAAAAAGAAAATCTACCAGGTCACAAGCTCTTAACAAGCAAGAAAAAAATACAAGAAGCCAAAATAAGATAATCTAAGCCATTTCGTGGCATTATCGACAAAAAATCTTGTAAAAATTTACCCGAAGATTCTTTAAGGTAATTTCATCCTTTTTCATAATATATTATGCTCATTAATTTGAAAAATATGGGTCCAAGAGAAGAATATTAATGATTATGAACCAATTAACGTATTATCTCCGACCTGGCTTCATAGAAACATCTAGAAACCATTGCAGAACAATATTCTAAAGTGTAAAAGCTTTTCAAAACTGTGAACAAGCTCAAGACTGCTCTGAAGGAAGTGTAGTCAAAATTTAATGTGTTGGTTTAGGGGAAGGTATTGAGCTCGATGCCGTAAGGAATCGAGGTGATATTGAAGCCATATAGAGGGTGAGTAATGTATTAGTTAATGGTAAAAAAATTTCTATGCATATAGAAATAAATCGAATATACAAGTGACTCTCGTTATAGTAAAGATTAATTAAACTCTTGATATAGTAAAGTTCGTCCAAAACCAGTCTATAATAAATCCTCTCGTTATAGTAAATTTACTAATAAACTTTCGATATAGTAAATTTTTTACTAATGGTACTGCCTTTACTATAACGAAGTCACTTGTATATCTAAAATTTTCATTTTTGAAAAAATAAGGCGTTACTTTCTGTGGCGACTGTATATTACTGTCGATCCTTATTGCAAAAGTCTCACGAAGATCCTCCTTCAAGCTCTTACATAGCGTGAAGATGGGTTGTTCAGAGCCCCCGACCAGCGAGGGATGCTTTCGCCTGAAATGCAATTGTTAGTACAGTTATCCTATCGTATGGTGCGACGCATCTATACTCATCAACATTTGTTGATCAGTCTGAAATTTAAAATTATGTAAATATCACGTGAAATGATTTTTATTGGATTAAATTTAATTTTGTGTAATTCCTTTATAATTTCATCTGGAATTTTTCTATGTGACCTATATTTTTTTAATTGCATATTCAGCTAATTTTTACTAATTTCTTTTTTATATAAATTCATATAACACCAAGCTTTTCTAGAAAATTTTCTAATTGTAATTAAAGAAATTAAATCAAGACTTTGAGACATAGTTTTTTTAAATTTAGCCATGAATAATCACAATTTTTTCTTGTATATCTTTTAGTAGCTTCCTAATAATGCTCAATAAAATTAAGTTCACAATGAAATTTGGAATAAAAAATGTATTTGTGACCTGCTTTTTCAATAATTTCAAAAATTACACCTTTTTGAGTGAAAAATCAGGATCCAAAGATATTATCTGATGTGCACAGCAATTAATTTGATTTTCATTATTTTTTCTTTATATTTTTTGCATTTGAGTAATAATTCATTTTCAGACCATTTTTTTTTCTTGCAATATTTGTTTCAATCCTTTAGGTTAATCCTGTAATTATTCATTAAAATAATCATCTGGAAAAATTATTTTTTAGAATTTATTATTAGAACTCCAATATGTATCACGCATTTTGAATTATATTTCACCAGGATTTAAGTTTATTTTTTTCATTATCAATGCATCTTTTGCAAATGTTGCATGGTTGAAACTATTATCAAATGCAAAAATATTCATACAATTTGAATAAAGAGTTTCAAAAATTGGAATTATCTTGGTTATAATTTGTTCAAGAAAATTTTCTGCTATTTAATAATCTTTACGATTTTTGTCTGGTTCCAAGTATACACATGCTTCTATTAGAATTGTAAAATATTGTTTAATATATGCAGGTGATAATTTCAAATGTTCATTAACTTTAATCAAAAATTTACTGATCATAATTAATTTTCTATTTCCTTTTTTCATAAAGATAATTCTCTATTTTTGATTCAAATGTCACATTATCCATTATTTGCATAAAAAATATATTTATCATGTGTTATCAAGATATCTATTTTGATTTTCCTCTAAATGAAACAAAATATGATTCATATTATTACCTTTATAATGTGACATGAATTTTTTATATTCAAATATTTGCTTCAAAAATTGAATTTAATATTGAACAATATTTGTATATTTATGACTATTATAATATATGTCTTGTTTTTGTCTTTGTTTTGTATATTCAAGAATATGAAGCCAATGAGTTGCTATTATAATGTTGTTAGATTTTTTTTGGTGATTCTGAAGTTTGTTAATTGTTATTCAATGAAGTCTTTGAATTTTGCAGAAGTAACTTTAAAATTTTGTTTGTGAATTCAAGTATAACATTTTTTAGCAACATTTTCATCATCAATTAGTTAAATAATTTTCTTGACATGTTATAGGAAGTACATTATGAATTATCCAATGGCTAGTCCAATATCTAATTTGATGAGTTTTTCAAGTGTGTTCATCGATAAAAATTATTTGTACAATATCTGTACTTGTCTTAAGTTTATTATGATCATTTTTATTCAATCATTTGAAGTATTCAAAAATAGCTTGCTTCTTATTATATTTGTTAACTTTTATTGTACTGTGCTAAATATCTAATTTCTTTTGTAATATTTTTATCTTTGTGTTAATTTTATTTTGTTTATATCAACTCTCCTCCTCAGAAACACTTCTAATTCATCGTTATTATATGTGTGAGCAAAGTTTGTGATAGAGTTATCAAGTTGAGATGGTAATTCACTATGTGTAAGAAAGAAACTTGTAATTTTTAAGGTACCAATTGTTGATTTAATAAATGAGCTATTTGATTCTCACTTTTTATAATAGGTTGCTTTTGGAGTTTTGTCAGTTTTGTATGGATCTCATTTTTTTTCAAACTCATTGTTCGATTTTCACTTTGAAGATAAATAATCTTATTGTGTATTAAATAAAAAATTAAAAGAATTACCTTAATAAAAAATAACAATACCTAATATTACTGTTCATAATTTTAATTGAACATGCTGTTCCTCCTCTATGTCGATGATATTTTCCCATCCACTGTTATCCTCATTCCCCTATTCTTCCATAGATTCAGCAGGTTTAAAATCAAAAACCTCATTGATTATTTCATTGTTTGCCTCTTTACTATCATTTAAGTTATCATAGAACTTCTTTGATCCAAATTTGCCATTAAACCTTCGGGTTTGTTGTTGGTAAAGACTTTTCCATTTTTTTACTGGTGGCATGATTGTGATCAACAGTTTTGTCAAGCTGTTTACATGATAAAAAGTAGTGTTATATCATACGAAGAATTAATTAATTCGAGAAATTTTCACAATGTAATTTATTAGTTAGACTGAATAATTTAATAATAGGTGTGTTTCAATTAAAATAAAAATAATTAAATGATCTTATAAAGAAAATTAATAATGAATTAATAAACTTTTATTTATTGCTATTCGATAATTATTACAATAATCTTAAAAACAACAGGGATTACTGTACAAAGGAAAATTTGATATATTAAAAATAAGATACTAATTCAATAAAATCAATGACGTATTTAGAGTGAAGCATCTACTTGTTATTTTACAAGGTTTGAAGATGATCAATATAAAAGAATAATAGTGTATTTACTAGTAGTATACAGGTAAAAACTTTTTATTTCTTTATTTGATCAAGCATATTCTCTCAG